TGGGCCTATTTGTGGTTGTCATCCCGAAGTTTTCATCATAAAAAGCCACCCGTCTCTTTGTGGAAGAATGCATTCAAGATGGGAAATTGAAATGGGAGGCAGCGCCTGCTTCCTCGCTCTGACAACATGTCATTTTCAGCAGCAGCATGCCATTACCTGGAGTGTTTTGCCATCTTCTGGCTGCAGAGGTCCACCTTGTAAATGTTGAATGTGAAATAGGAATCCAGTCATCAGCTGCTGTCGTAAACAGTTTACCCCCGTGTCTTCACACCCCCTTCCTAAACCTCGCCGCCATCCTCTGATTTGATCCGCAGGATGATGCTCTCTCTGCTCGCTGCTTGTAAACATGCCTCCCTTTGCTGAGCTTCTGCAGGTTAAGAGAAGCCTGGAAGGTGCGGCCAAAAATCTTTGATCAATTCTGTGGGAAAATAAATAAATAAATCCCGACCTTGACTGTCACTGGTGACTCACATATTGCCTCAGTCACTCTGTCACTCCTGTCCAAATTCTCCTCTCAGCCTGAACAGAGCTGAGGAAGAACAAAGTAATGCCCTCAAAAAATAACATATGAATTATGTGCCACATATAATTATGTACAACATATGCAAAGCACATGTTTTGCATCAGGGAAATGTGTGATTTTGAGCATTTTGATGGTTTAATGAACACATGGAATTAGTGGTGCACCGATTTATTGGCACCGATTTCCTCAACCCTTTCATACATGAATTATGATCCTGTATGTCAGTATTTTTTTGTTTTTGATTTAGATTTTCTTAAGACATTTAAAAAAAAAAGGTAGGAAAAATATTGTTAAAAAAATGTTTTTTTCTGGGTGATCAGTTGTGGGTTTTCTCTAAATACGAAGTTATTTACATCAGTAGTTTTGTTCTTTAGTTACTTAATGTCACAATATTTTTTTACACCTCCAGGAGTCTTCTAAAGTAAAAGGAGGGACTAGATGTTCCTGAGTTGCTTTTTCGTCTGTCGGCCATTTTGGATTTAATAAATATTTTGTTGCACTTGCAGTGGATGGCCAGTAGTTGGCAGTGTGTGGTATGATGCGGTAGTGTCCATTTCAGTGGTCTCTGTGCATTTATAACATAAAAATACACAAGAAACACAAGAAAATTACTTTTAGATGGCTGTCCACTGCAGTGAACGCTGTGATTGTAAGAGTTAATTTTGGAAGCTTGGAGATCGACTGATACTCGCATGTGAACCCGATCTAATCCACCGATATTTACCTTGGAAATCAGCCACTGTCCTCATCTGACCCACCAGGTCATTTCTGCACGTTTTCATTAACAATAGTCAGCCCACTGCTGCCAACTCAGTGCCTTTCTAACATTTCAGACAAAAAACCATTAGTATCGGCCAAAATCAGAATTGGTAGTTCAGGTTTTTTACAAAAGATCGGTAATCGGAAACTTTAATCGGTGCACC